AGACGGGGTTTCACCGTGTTAGCCAGGATGTTCTCGATCTCCTGACCTCGTAATCCGCCCGTCTCGGCCTCCCAAAGTGCTGGGATTACAGGCTTGAGCCACCGCGCCCGGCCCGGAGTAGGAACTTTTTTAAGGGCACAAAGCCAGTGAATGGCTCAGAACCAGGACTAAGAGCAGGTGATGCCTGGCCCTGTCCTCATTGCACGAGGTTGTGAGAACCAAACTGACTTTTGAGGAGAGGCTTCATTGTTGCAGAAATCCTGGAGCACAAAGGGTCTTGACAGCCACTACCTGGATCCGCTAGAAAGTAAGGGTGCTTGTCGCACCCCCTTCGGTCACTCTGGGGACTTCAGTATTCTGCTCTTTTTCTTTTAGCACGTCTCCTGTGAGGATTTGTTAAAAAGACAATTCTTTCCTGCATTTGCATCACATTCACTTTGTGTGTTTGTACTTACAATCCAGGAGGCAGCATTCCAGAAAGGAAAATGCTGGTGTATGAAGAATCCAGTGATGCCCTCAGTTAAATTCACATCACACAAAGAGGCAGCTTGTTCAGAGGGCTTGGAGGGCCAGCTTGTGAAACCCACACAACCGTGGAAGCAGCGTGTTAAAAATCCTCTAGGAAACCCAGGGAAATAGGGATTGCAATGAGTGTGTGAGTGTGTGTGTGTGTGTGTGTGTGTGTGTGTGTGTGTGTGTGTGTATTTTGAGAAAGGTCTTGCTCTGTCATGCAGGTTGAGTGCAGTGAGGCAATCATAGCTCCCTATAGTCTCCATCTCCCAAGCTCAAGCAATCCTCCTGCCTCAGCCTCCTGAGTAGTGGGACAACAGGTGCAGGCATTACCACACCCAGCTGATTTTTCAAAAATTGGTTTTATTTGTAGTAGAGACGAGGTCTCGCTGTTAACCCAGGCTGGTCTCAAACTCTTGAGCTCAAGTGATCCTCCTGCCTCAGCCTCCCAAAGTGCTGGGATTACAGGCGTGAGCCACCATACTCGACCAGCAACATGTTTTAAGTGCTTTCCTCACTGATTGTTTTTAACCATGATTTCTTGGTCCATACTGGTCTCCATGTAGGCCCTCATCTGACCCCTCAGAGTCCACGGAGCTGTCTTCAGGGCATCTGCCCTGAGACTTGTTCTGGTAGAAGCCTCTGCATTTCTGCTGGGCCTCCCCCTCAGACTGGATTCTCCCTACGGGAAAGGCTTAGGATTTGTGCACAGTCCACCCTAGACCTCTGGGGAAAGCAGCAGACCAACATCGCTGGTCGTGAAAAACCATCCGGGCTGGTCGACTGTATTTCCAGCTGGCTTCACATCTATCCTGAGAGGTGAGTATGTGGCTTCCTCTCCCCTGTGGCAGGGAAATGGTGGAGACTCCTCAGACCATCCATCCTTCCAGCCATGGTAAGTTGCCACCAGTATTTAAAGTTATGTCTGGGGTTGCCAGACAGAAAGCCATTTGCAGACAATGGCGTGCCAGTCACACAAGCAGACCCTCCACGAGATACGCCATTTGGCCAGTTCAGCCGCAGCACCCATGACCTTCTTTCAAGTTCTCTGTATTTCAGCCAAATTAAACCTCATACTGTTGCTGACACATGCCCTTTTTATCCCTGCACAGGGCTGCATTCCTCTGCCGGGAACACTCTGGCCCTCTTTCTTTCCTAAAATTGACTTGAGGTCAAAGATCAGCTGTCTCAGGAGACCTCTTTGCCTTCAATTAGAGACAAGCCCTTCTTCCTAAGAACATCCATAGGATTCATCTGAACTCTTAGATCCCTTCTCATTCCAGCTCATGGTTTTGAGTCTATCCTCTGAGACTCTGAACTCCTAAAGAGAAAAGAGCATGACACTCCACCTCTGAATCCCAGTAGTGCTACATGTTCCTGTATTCATGGTTTCATTCCATCAACACACATTTACTGACACTGCTTCAAAAAGCCCTTTCCTGACCACCCTGTCCGAAGCGGGCTTTTGTACCACTGCACACAATCAAACATCCTTTTTTTATTTATTCTTTTACTTGTAAATTCCCTCTCTCCCTAGAATGCAATTCCAATCTGTCTTGTTCACCTCTGTATTAGTCTGTTCTCACACTGCTATAAAGAACTACCTGAGATTGAATAATTTATGAAGAAAAGAGGTTTAAGTGACTCACAGTTCTGCAGTCTTAACAGGAAGCATGGCTGGGAGGCCTCAGGAAACTTACAGTCATGGCAGAAGGGGAAGCAAGCGCATCTTACCCCAGCGGAGCAGGAGAGAGGGCACTTGAAGGGGGAGGTGCCATACTTTAAACCATCAGATCTCATGAGAATTCACTCAGTTTCATGAGAACAGCAAGAGGAAAACTGTCCCCATGATCCAATCACCTCCCAGCACGTCCCTCTCCTGACATGTGGGGATTACAATTCAACATGAGATTTGGGTGGGGACACAGAGCCAAACCGTACCAATCTCAGTGGCAAGTATAATGCTTAGCATAGAGTAGGTGCTCAGATAGTTGTGGATGAAGGTATCAGTTAAGGAATAAATGCCTGGAGCATATAGGTGTGACTTCGGTTTTGCACAGAGCTTTCAAACAGCAAGCAGGTTGAGAGCCCCAGGCCTCTGTGAGAGTGGTTAGTCTGTGGCCTGAGATGTATGGGGTTAGTATTAGGTCTGTGTGCACACAGCCTACCCTGGCACCACCATGCTTGCCTGCCCATTGGAATGGGCATGTTCTGCCATCAGGTGATGTGGTAATTCTCTGCAAACATCACTGTGTGCTCATCTCCATATGCAGGTCCCAATTCAAATGAGAGGAGCAGCACGTCTCACACATTTGGGCCTGTGCTTAAATGCCTTATGAGCTTCAAGGAAAAGCATCAGTCTTATAAAATTTAGGAAGCGTTAACAGAAATTAAGAGTGAGGAAAGCAAAACAGCAGTGATATCTTCCTAATGATGTGCAGCCCCACTTCACCCTCCTGAACATTCTCAAGGATCTGTGGCCGTGTGAAACCCTGAAGGGAAGGTGAACTTTTATTACACATGCCACTTGGATGGCATTGAGAGCTCTTTTCTGCACTTGCAGAGGTTTATTTGCAAGGCTTTTCCCCTTCTTTAGGATCTCAATTAGGGGCAAGTGGACTATTCCCAGGGCGAAGTGTGTTCAGCATGTATAAAAATGCCTTTGTGTCCGTTACTAGAATGTCTTACCATTTGAGAAATGAATTTACGAGGAAAAGTCCAAATTAAATAGGGATTACACTGATCCCTTTTAAGAATTTTCAATTCATATTGGCGCATTCTATTTTCTGGTGTGTGAGCACTAAACCAAAAACAGTCCTGCCCCAAGTGCTGGGATCTACGTACCCATTAGGCCAGGAATTCATTATGCAAAGCAGCTGTTCTACCAACAGCCAAGTGTCCCAAGACAATTTCCCTCATATGTGCTTCTCCTGCTGGGAGGCACGTCAACCCCCCGCTGTGCATGAGATCCTTTATTTGCTGCTGTCTCTTGCTGCTCATTTGGCAGCAGGTGACCACAAAGGTGCCTGCCTAGGCACAGACATCCACGCAAGTACCGCTTTCACCTCTGGGAACACTCCCCAAACACCTATTCCTCTCACTTCCACCTGTCTGTTTCAAGGAAACAAAAGAGCAGGCAGAACAAAGGGTGCATTTCTTAGAGATTATCTTTAGTAGCTGCACATTCAAAAGCAGACAGACTGGTACTTTCCTAGGGTTACAAAGCGAAACTCACTTCTATGCCTCACGTTTACCACTCTTCTGCATGAGTGTTTCTGTTGTTCTTAATGTGTTCAGAGACTGCAAAGCTCACTATGGTCCAGTTTGGACTCGCTCCTTGGGAAAGCTTCCTAGATATTTCCAGGGAGTCCCGAGCAGCTCCAGGAGCAGGCCATGCCTGGGGTCCTGGATGCTGGGATTCAGCCTCCACACAACACATGGGTGTTTTCTCGAGCAGGTTTCTCCAGTGAGTCCAGCCTTTCTTTAGCTCCCTTCACTGAGACCAACATGCACCATTCCTGTGACCCCAGTTGCGTGGTTGGTTTTCTAGACACTTATGAAAGAAATGCAACAGTAGGAAGGGGTGCTGATATGTAAATATATACATATATATATATATCACTCTTGTTGCCTAGGCTGGAGTGCAATGGCGCAATCTCGGTTCACTGCAACCTCCACCTCCTGAGTTCAAGTGTTTCTCCTGCCTCAGCCTTCTGAGTAGCTGGGATTACAGGCACCTGCCACCACGTCCGGCTAATTTTGTAGTTTTAGTAGAGACAGGGTTTCCCCATGTTAGTCAGGCTGGTCTCAAACTCCTGACCTCAGGTGATCTGCCCACCTTGGCCCCCCAAAGTGCTGGGATTACAGGTGTGAGCCACCGCGCCTGGCAGGGATCCTGATATCATACACAAGGTGCTGATTAGAAGGTGACATCTGATAGGGACCCAGAAGATTGGAACCTGTTGTGCTTGAAGGGGAGGGAGCATGACTGGGGAGGAAACAGACCCGGTGAAGATCAAGAAATAGGAAAGAAAGACCTGAGACAGCAGCGTGTAGAAGGAGGATATAGGGGAAAGGTTGGCAGGAAAGTCTGGGCATGCCAGGTGGGCCAGTTTAGCTTTCAATGGGCAGGCTGAGGAGCTGGCTGAGGTTAGGCCAGAGGAGAGACAGAGCTGCTGGCTGCTGCACTGGGCAGGTGAAACCAGTGGTGTCTGCATAACGGGGCTGGGGTGGCCACTGGTTGAAAGAGTGCTGCAATAATCCAAATAAAACACACCCAGGGCTGCCCCAGCCCAGTGAGGCTGGAAAGACAGAGAATAAGGTGGGAGACTGGGATGCATCAGACACGGGATCCTGTAACTAGATCATGCATTGGCAGAAATTCCTGCTTAAGTGAAGACCTCCCCTCACAATTGCCTTAGCTACAGAAGAATTCATTCACAGACAGCCCAAATCTGGGGGAAAAAATCAAAGATGCGGGAAATGGGAAATAGAATTCATACATTTATTTGATATAAATATAATTATGTCAAAATGTTTTATATCAAAACATTGGCCCAATGGACCAATATAAGAGGCTGGAAAAAAAAAAAGGCAAAGAGGCTTCTTCTGCCCCCTGGTGGCCTTTGGGGAAACGTCACTGAAAAGGCAGAGCAGAGGGGACCGCTTTCTCTCCACTTTGTACCCAAGGGTCAACTGAGCACGCAGCACCCTTGACAATAAGGGAGAAGTCCAGAGGGCTCGCTCCCCTCCCGCGCCAGCTCTCTCTCGGCCAAGGTTGGGCCACAGCCAGTGTCTCCTCCGCTGGATCCGAGCCAGTGGCTCTGCCCGGGTGGACAGCAGAGTTGCCGCTGAGGTTCTAACTGCTTCCATCAGGGCTCTCAGAGCAGCTGTTAGAACGGGTTGGGAAGCAGAGCAATTCTGACAGTGTCAGGAAAACATCCCCCTGGCTTCCCCGTGTCCAAGCTTGAGGACCCAGGGGCTGGATACACAGCCACAGACACACAGAATCCACTTTTAGCAAGGCTGCAGAAAACAACGTTTAACTATAGAAACACCTGTTTTTGGTAAATGCTGCAGATCTATTTCCAAATATTGTCTTCCAGCCCACTCTCCCTCCCACTGAGGCAGCATCCCACAGGACCCAACGTCACCACTTTTCCAGTCCAAAAGATGTGCTTTCGATGTCCTGGTTTGATGCTGCCTTTCCGCTAACCTGTGCGGCTCTGTGAAAAGCCAATTTTAAGATGTGATGCCTCCTCCAGAATTCGCCTGCGTGCAGAAGAAGGATGCAGAAGGAGGCAGAAAAGCCGGAGCAGTTGGGGGCAAGATGAAAACAGTCTAGTCGTTATCAGTTAAACTGTAACTGCATGCGGCAGCGTGCTGAGCGAGAATCAGCAGAGCCCGTGAAATGTTGCTGGTTTTCCAGATAGCCCGTTTAGTTTTGTCTCAAACAAAACAGAAATGTGCATAATGATACCTAGGCCTCAAGCCCGTTTTATTTCTCCATTATACCAAGGAAAACTTGAATGGTGGCCCCACTGGAGTGAGGCTCCCGTGAATATGAATAATTGTTCCATGAATATGAATAATGGGTTCCTATGAATAATTGTTTATCAACCTTCGATTAGACAGCAGCAGCCATTAGCATGTTTTTAGCCTTCTGACATTAGGGTCTTCTTTGTGAGCAGGTATTTAAAATGGATTCTAATTCCACGGTCTTGAAGGCCTGTTCCAATATCGTGAATTTTGCAGATAACTGTAATTTATCCTGTAACAGAACCTTTTGATTGCTTTAACTATGAAATATTTCCATTGCATTATACATTTGCTTATAACAGAGTATAGGAAATGTATTTTAGCCATTTGCTGGACAGTTCAACATTGTCATTACCAAAGTCAACTCTCCGATTGGCCTGAAGCTACCCCGTTGTTTAGGGTTTCAAACCTTAGATAAGAGGCGTTCACTCCACCTTTTCTCTGTAATGTTTGTTAACACTTGAATCTTATGACCTTTCTTTTTTGGTTGATACCTGCTTTGATCAAGATATAGTGGGCTGAAGAACAGCAGCAAGGCTGCGTTCTGAGCTGTCTACACCTGCAAATCTCATCAACTCCTATCAGCTGGGCAGCAGGTTGTCCGGTTCATCACTCCCGATGAGGAAGCTGAAGTTCGCTGAGCTTCCTTCTGGCACTAACCTCACACACTTAGTAGTGCTTCTAGGATGTGAACTTAGTCTGGTTTGCCTTCCAAGTCCAGGTTCTCCAAAACATGTTTTCTTTTTAACTTACTAAGTAGGTGAATAAAAGGATGTGGGGGCTTGCTGGGGGAATGTGGTCAGAAGGTTGCTCTTGCTCCTGGTCTGATGTCAGCGCTCCCCACCCAGCGTTGTCCACAGGGCATGGGTGGAATGCGTGGGCCATGCACAGGGAGAGCCGATCAGGGTACAATGTGCAGCCTTCCATTAGCACGTCGTTTCCAGTTCACTTTTTCCTTTTACTTTGGTATAAAAATTTCTTCAGAGAAACGTCTCCACAGAGCCCCATGCTCTTTCCCCTGCACCAGTAACTCTAATGGCGCTCCCAGGAGTCAGGCAGAAGCTTTGGTGCATGAATTCCAGCCCATTCTAGCTGCTAAGCGGCGATTGTATTTCCTTCCTTTCTGCCTTCCTTTTCTATGTGCCAGATGGTGAAGTGGCCAGATAAGCAGCCTACTGATAAGTGAGGTCTACAATTCATCACACACCGATAATGCTGACATCTAACAGTTTCCATATCTTTACAAAGGCAATAAATGGGTAAGAGAAACGAATAACACTCGTTAGAATAAGGCCAAACTAGTCTCCAGATTTTCCTTTTAAACTTCGTTCCTTTAGTTCCAAACTTTCCCAACAGAATCATTAGTGACTTTATCAGAAATATTAAATACTTCAAGCATAACCACCAGCTGCTGTAGATGCAGAAGCCTTAATTGCATACGGCTGGCCACACACTGATTATTTTCCTGGCTTTCTTCATAAAATAACAAATGGAATTGCAACGTGGCTCAAGAACAGGCAGAAACCAGGAAGACTGGAAGTAGTCATTTTTACTTTCTGCAGGCGCTGCCCTTCATGCTTGCACAGAACTCTCATGGCCACTGCCCGTTAGCAGGGGCCCCTTCCAATCTCCCACCCCCACAAGCTCTGCCCAAGGGGGTCTGCAACCAATTTTTGGTGAAGCAAGTCCAGACTAACCTCCCCATATCTAAATAAAATGCCTCCACTGAAATTCCATATGATCTAAGGATTGAGACATTGACATGCACTTGGGTTAGAAGTAGGCTGGAAAAAACCCTAGTAATCAAAATTGCCCTAAAAAAATGCAATAAGGGAATAAAACATCTCCAAAAGGCAGAGCCATAAATCTTTCCAATCTTTCTTCTGGGTTGATTTAATCATGTGTGTTACCCACCAGCTGTATGTTAAACAGTATAAGGGAGATGCTATGATGAGTATTTATTTTTTTCTCACCTTTCTTTTGCAGAGTTAGGTCACTGAAGATTTTTGAGTAGACTTGTTTTGTAAGATGCATGAACATCCTTTTATTGCTATAGATTCAGAGATCGTTCTTGATAAAGTTTTTTATTTGGGTAAAATAAATATGCAACTAGAAAACTAGAAACCTGGAAGGAAATTCAAGATGCAATATTTGAAAATGGAGATAAAAGAACAGGAATCCTGTGTAAGTATTTCTGAATTAATCTTTCAGTCATTCAAATTGTTCTTTAAGGAAGCAGCATCTCTGTACATAGCTTAACTGTAAATCTAAATGGGACAGTTATCTTAGGAAACGGACACAGTAATGAGATGCTACAACTGCACATATGCATAGCTGCACTTCAATCAAAGGTGGAACTAGATTGCTCAATGGAAATTACATATGATGATAAATTGCAAAGTGTCAAAGAAAGTTGCCCCCAAACAAATGTTCCACTGTCATAGTTCCACAGTTTTACCACACAGAAACCTAAGAAAGTATCAAAGCTTGACACATTTTAATTTTTTTTTTTTTTTTAAACGGAGTCTCACACTGTCACCCAGGCTGGAGTGCAGTGGCGTGATCTCAGCTCACTGCAACCTCCACCTCCTGGGTTCAAGCGATTCTCCTGCCTCAGCCTCCCGAGTAGCTGGGATTTCAGGCGCCCACCACCAGGCCCAGCTAATTGTTTTTGTATTTTTAGTAGAGACGGTGTTGCTCCATGTTGGCCAGGATGGTCTTGAACTCCTGACCTCGTGATTCGCCCACCTCGGCCTCACAAAGTGCTGGGATTACAGGTGTGAGCCATTGTATCCGGCCTGAATTTAAATTGTAAATTTTAATTGAATTAGACACATGCGGCTAAAGCTACCTTATTGTACAGGGCAGCCTTAGCAGTTTGTGTCATTCTACCATAGTCAAAAATCCAAACCCTTTATCAAGTTGATTCTGTGAATCAAAACTGAGACTACATCCTACAGTTACTACGGAGCTTTCACTACATATACGCTCTCTTGCTGTACATATGTATGTGTGGATAATATTTGCCTTAAAGGTCAGTAAAATAACTCACATCAGCAACAGTTAACTTCCAAAGTACAGTCTGGCCACCTCTCGATATTTTAAAATATGCTGGACAAATACATAGAACTGTTCACATACAACTGCGCTAAAAGCCTTAAGCTCTGAATTCACAAACCTAAAATGCTGTTTTTCTTGTTTCATGATCAGAAAGCTCCAATAGTTGAGAGATGCTATTCAAATTCACTGAATACTGAATTAACAAAGTGCGATGAATTGGATATCATGAAGTATTCATGAGTTTTCGTTTAACATTAATTAAAATTTTAAAAACCTGATGTTAAATAATTTTAAGACCCTGGCGCAGACTGACAAGCATGGAAAATTAAGGTTCAGAGGAAAATTCCATTCAAAATCACAGGTGAATAATATGTTGGGAGTACAACATTTATATATATAAATACATACACGTGTACACACATACACACACAATTTTTGAGAGGCAGGGACTCGCTCTGTCACCCAGGCTGTATAGCAGTGGTGTGATCATAGCTCACTGAACTCAAGCGATCTTTCTGTTTTGGCCTCCCAGGTAGCTAGGACGACAGGCACACAACACGCCTGACTAACTGATTTTGTTTTTGTAGAGATGGGGTCTCACTATGCCGCCCAGGCTTGTCTGGAACTCTGGGCCTCAAGCAATCCTCCTGCCTTGGCCTCCCAAAGGACCTTTTTCTTATAATGACTCTAGCCTGTAACATTAAAATAAATAAATCTTTAAAACCACTTTTTAAATATTGCATTTAACCAAACTCTAATGATCAGAGAAACAAAAATACTTGTGCTAGTCAATAACAGTCTGCTTTATACGTGCCAGACAAGCAACGATGCCTCTAAGATGGCTGAAATGCTTCATTTCGAGTGGTATTACAAATGCCGTGTAATAGTAAGATCTGCTATACTAAGTTTTAAAAACAGCACTTTTAATTTAGAATTGCTTCTTCATATTGCAGATGAAGAGCTGTGATGAGGAAACCACGCTCTCTATATGCATGTAAGCTATTTTGAAACTCTAATAAAAATTTGGGAAACAAAATGTCTTCAATTCTTAGTCTAATCAAAATAGTTAATGGGACTGGGTGTGGTGGTTCACGCCTATAATCCCAGCACTTTGGGAGGCTGAGGCAGGCAGATCACTTGAGGTCAGGAGTTCGAGACCAGCCTGGCCAACATGGTGAAATACCATCTCTACAGAAATATAAAAATTAGCCGGGCATGGTCGCACACGCCAGTAGTCTCAGCTACTCAGGAGGCTGAGGCAGGAGAATCACTTGAGCCTGGGAGGTGGAGGTTGCAGTGAGTCAAGATGGCGTCACTGCACTCCAGCCTGGGCGAAAGAGCAAGACTCCGTCTCCAAAAAAAAAAAGAAACCAAAATGAAAACAAAAACAAAAAGTTAATGAGACAATATTTTCTAGATAGGACTCAAGAGCCCAATGGGGACAACCACCTGAATAGTAAAATGTAATTTTACCAAAATCCCCAAATAAACAGCCAATATAAAACTTAGCAAGATTAATAATAGAAATATGGTTACCCATCTTGTCTAGCAAACCCATTTTAAAGACTTCTGTTTTATAAAGAATCAAATAAATTAAAACCTTAATTTGTTTTAAATACCTTTAAGCTTTCAAGTAAGGCAATTCTAGTTGGAAATTTTAGAGGTGTGCATCCTGTGAAAACAGTAGTCTCCGCATCGCCCGGAAAATATCTAGTGGGAGGAACAAGGAGAGGAAAGGCACTAAGTTTTCAAAGCTACATATTTCCTGAAGCTGCAGGTAAGGAAAAAATTCCTACTGTCCAGTGAAAGGGAAAAGGAACTGGGAAATCAGGAATAAGAATAATGTCAATGAGCGTTCTAGTCCATTCCGGCTGCTTAACAGAATACCATCAACTGGGCGGCCCGAAAACAAGAGAAATGGATTTCTTACAATTCTGGAGCTGAGAACTCCAAGTTGAGGTGCCGGTAGATTTGTTATCTGTTGAGTGCCACTTTCTGGTTCACAGATGGTGCCTTCTCTTGCGTCCTCACACGCTGGGACGGGTCTCTTTTAGGAGCGCTCTAATGCCATTCATGAGTGCTCTGCCCTCAAGACCTAATGCCCTTCCCAAAACCCTGCCTCCTAACACCATCACAGTGAGGATATAGATTTCAATATATAAACTTTGGGAGGAACCAAACCGTGTCTATAGCACCAAGTGTTTTAAAGAACTCCTATGAAAATGTTAGTGCTGGTCAATTACAACTCCCACTACCCAAAAGGAGGGGCCAAAGTCTTAAGGCCTCATTCCCAAAAGATTCTAGACACAGTGGAATATTATGCAGGTATTAAAAAGATTATATTCTGCCCAGACACAGTGGCTAGTCATACCAGCACTTTGGGAGGCCGAGGTGGGTGGATCACTTGAGATCAGTTCGAGACCAGCCTGGCCAACGTGGCAAAACCCCGTTTCTACTAAAAACACAAACATTAGCCGGGCGTGGTAGAGCGCGCCTGTAATCCCAGCTACTAGGGAGGCTGAGGCACAAGAATCACTTGAACCCAGGAGGCAGAGCCTGCAGTAAGCCGAGATTGCACCACCGCACGCTAGCCTGGGTGACACAGCGAGACTCCATCTCAAAAAAAAAAAAAAAAAAAATTATATTCTTCCTCATTTATGCTCAAATGTATTAAGATGTTCACAACATATTAAAAAGTTATGAAACAATATACACAGGATTCCGTATTTCTTTTAAAATAAAACAAGACATATACATATATGTAAGGTAGGAAAAAGTGTCAAAGGCCCTACACCAAAATGTGAAAGGTAATCAGGGGTTGTTGCTGATGGGATTAAAAGTGTTTTTACTTTTTCTTCAGTATTCTTTTCCATATTGTCTAAATATTTCCTGATGAACACTGTCCACTTCAAGTAAGAAAAGGCTAAGTCTATTCTGGAGGAAAAAAATGTCAGTGGGAATTGTAACTAATATTTAAATCACTTGGAAATAGGATTAATTTTATCACCAACCTACCAGGACCCTCTTTACTGTAAAGAGATAAAACACTAGTAAATGTATTGCATAAATATACCACAGACTATTATGAACAATTAAAGCATACTTCATATTTTTGAAAATTTCCCTGCAAACTTTCTAAGATAAATTATATTTGAATTGATATTTAAAGTCCTATTTTGAATCCCTTTGGGATAAAAGTCTATTCCTTAATTTATCTTGTGAAAATCCAGACTTTTGGCTTAAAATGGGATTTTACTCTCTTTCTGAGAAAGGAATCCACCATACTTTGATTTAGATAACCACATGGTCTGGAACTCCATTTAGTGAAAATTAAATTTTATGATTCATATAGCCAGTGTCTTACCTCTGTTTTCGACATATTCACACAGCAGGTGAAATGTGTTCAGGAATTTAAAAGATGAAAACATATGTCTTTTAAGTAATGACCACCAAGAGCCACTGCAGATAGAAACAGCTTTATTTTTTCCATTCAGGCTTTATCAAATAACTTGTTCAAAAAGCATATACGAGAGCAAAAAATACCACATGCAATCAAACTTGTTTGCCTTATAGTCATTGGTTTTTAGAAAAGATGTGCACTTGAATAATTTCTAATTCATTTTCCAATTGTTTCTACTTCATTTCTTTCAAGTTAGCAACGACAGATACATTTTAGTTAACTGTCCATCATATTCCTTATCTTTATTCATACTGAAATAATATAAAGCCTATAAAATCAAAGCATATACTGTTCAGAAATCTGAAAAGGTTCTTTTACATAATAGACTCTGACATGTTAAGAAACTACACACAACAAATAGTTGCAAAATGAATGAATAGGATAAAGCTATTTAAAAGTCAACATAGTAATATTTATCTAAATAATTTTAATCAAATGAACAATATATTTATCTGATAGCATCTATCTTTTAGAATACAAAAAAAGTGCTCAGATTACATTTAAAAAAAATAACAAAAATCTCTTAGAATGGAAATAATTTAAATAAGGATGGTAGCACAGGGAATCAAAATTACATCTTTGCTCCCAAAACAGGAAGGCAGGTGTGATGTATTTGAAATCAGAAGGGGACACAATACTGAGATTGCAAATGCAAAGTTTCCTGCCTTGGAAAGATAGAAACTGTCTTTGAAAAGTCCTTGTGTCTTTATAGAAAGCCACGAACACAAAATCACATCTCTCAGCTAGACTGCTGGTCAAGTAATAAGGTTGGGTCACTTTCCTTGACTATGCTGTTCTAGCTCACTATCAATATTCACTCAGCTGGGGCTCAAAAGGACACATAGGTGTCCTTTTAAGACACTTTGACTACTCGGATCAATATATCAAACAAATAAACATAATGCATGAACACAGCAGCCAAGCAGAAGGATCTCCATGCTCAAGTCACTCTGAGGCTTTGCCGGAGTCAACCTACAATGCCACCCTCAGGGATAGCACAGTGGTTCACAGACAGGGATGATTCATCATTTTCCTCTGAAAATGAATTCTGCAGGAAGAAACCAGAGTTGTGGTAAGATGTTGAAATCAAGTTTTCTCTTCATTTGATATTCAAGGGTTGTGATCTTTATGAATACCATTTTACATGCTAATCACAAAGACAAAAGGAGGAAAGATGCAGTGATAACATCAAGTTGGACATCCAAACGCTAAGGAAGCCACGTACCAGCCCTACCCTGCTTATTTTTAATAGTGCACAGATTACTTACTACACTTTCTGAAGCTTTATTTTGAAATTTATTTCAAATTTCAGACATGTTCATAATTTACTGTTGAGGAAATGAAACAGCATGTAGAACATAATTCTAACTGTATTAAAATTACATAGGTGTGTGTATACATACATGACAGTTCTTGAGTATGGTAGGGTTTTAGATGATTTTTACTTTTATAACTTCTTACTGTTCTGCTTACAGTATCACTTTTGTTATAAAATGAAGCTCTTTTCATTTTAGAGGAAAAAGAGAAAAAAAGCTCTATAGATTCTGAAGGCAGTTCCAAATAAGCTTCTCAAATGCTCTTACGAGACTATTTTGCAGGTCAAAATCCCAGAAAAATATAAAATCTTGTGATCAGAGAAAATGGCTTTGCTCACTACTCTAGCATGGTTATGAGAGCACTCGGCACCTGGCAGGTGACACACATGCTCTGAATGAAGAAATACGGCTGACTTGGATTTTGAGTTTCCACAGATTTCATTTTTAAAATCATTCTTTTATGATCCTTTTTATTCTAGTTAGCTAAGGATATTTTCAAATTTTTGTCGAAATTCAGTACATTTTAGAGAAAAGTTTAGTATCAGCAACAGGATTCAAACTACCATGTTTTATAATATGGCTGTTAAAAAAGGATGAACCAAAACAGAAAAATGGGCAAAGTGGGGACTAAAAAGGGCTTGCTGGCCAAACAGCTGGTAGCAGAAAAGGAGATCAGCTGACAAAGAGGGAACAAGAAAATAACCCTCCTCTGTTCTTCATCCTGTTTCCCAGACAGCTTGACTATAGCTAAGGGACATGTCTGACTCTCCTCCTCCTGTACCCAGCACAGTGCCTGCCACCTTGACAGGCGGGCAAAGGACTCAGCAAAAGAAAGTGATAGGGAAGGAGGCGGCTGGCCTCTGAGAGGGAAGGAGCGGGCTGGCCTCCGCTCTGAGTGAGAGGGAAGGAGGGGGCTGGCCTCCGCTCTGAGTGAGAGGGAAGGAGGGGGCTGGCCTCCGCTCTGAGTGAGAGGGAAGGAGGGGGCTGGCCTCCGCTCTGAGTGAGAGGGAAGGAGGGGGCTGGCCTCCGCTCTGAGTGAGAGGGAAGGAGGGGGCTGGCCTCCGCTCTGAGTGAGAGGGAAGGAGGGGGCTGGCCTCCGCTCTGAGTGAGAGGGAAGGAGGGGGCTGGCCTCCGCTCTGAGTGAGAGGGAAGGAGGGGGCTGGCCTCCACTCTGATCTGCTCTGAGTTACTCAGGGGGGCAGAAGCCACCCTGACTCTGACTCTCACATCAAAGGGCAAGAAATGGATTGTTCTAGCTCTTGTCCTGGAACAGAGGTCAGAATGATTCCTTCTTACATGTGATTTGGGCAGAACTATGAAAGTGATCACATACTAACTAATTTCCACTAACAACCAAAGACAAATGTCCTGAGTTGTAAGATAAAAAACTAGGGACTATTTCCTTTGGATGAGGCTTAGATCAAGGCAGGAACCAATGTTTTTCTTTTAAAAATTTAGTTTCTTACATTTTTAGAAATAAAGCAAATAATATAACTAGAGTAATTATGTATTTTATTGTCCAAACTGGGATATTTTTTAGAGTAAAAGGGAATACTATGTTCTAGGGGAAAAAACTATGCCAAGACAACAGACATGAACAGGACTGTCCTGAACAAATGGATACCTGATGCTAACACAAGATCCTTTTTAATGTTTTATTTTTTCAAGTTCTCTATTAAACTACATAACATTTGGCAGCAATTTAATATTGAACACTGAGTAACAGCACACAGTTTTGTTCTTGAGAAGACACATTTTCTAAGTGATGAAACAAACTTTCTACCTTCCCCATACTTAAGGTTTCCTAACATAAGTTCATGTTTAAAATGGGCCTGAGGAAACAGTCTGTTTTAATTTCTTTAACAGAACCAAAAAAAAAAATGCACAACTGTGATTAAGTTACTTAGATTCACTTCTTCATTTTACAAAATTTAAACAGGAGAATCTGAGCATATCTTGCTCTAGAAAGAAACCTCCAAAATGATAAACCCCAATTATGGGGGCTAGGTCACAACACAGTTTTAAAATCTTTATATTAACCATGAGATTCTCACAGATACATTGCCACAAAATATATTTTAAAAGCCATAGATAGTCAAAATAAAAACTGTCTTAATTTGTGGGTGGTGACAGTTACTTCTCCACAGGTACTGAGTAAGTACCCTGACACAAACCATCAGCACAACACGGGAAGCCCCGGCAGAGGCGAACAGGTCAGTTTCTGAACAGCAGCATCCGCTCGGAGCACTTCTGCCCCACCAGGCTGGCGTACTGCAGAACAGCGGCCTCCTCACTCGGGTCTTTCTGCTGTTTCTTATAAACACCGTAAGGCATGATGGCTCTCTTGTGAAACACCTGCAATCGGTCAGGTTCCGTGCTGCGATCTTCATCCACTGCAATGACAACAAATACTGATTTGTAAAATGTCACATATCAAACTTTTCATTTCCTTTTTTTCTTTTTTGAGACAGAGTCTTGCTCTGTCGCCCAGGCTGGAGTACAGTGGCGCCACCTCACCTCACTGCAACCTCCGCCTGTCAGGTTAAAGCGAGTCTCCTGCCTCAGCCTCCCAAGTAGCTGGGATTACAGGTGTGTGCCACCACACCAGGCTAATTTTTGTATTTTTAGTAGAGATGGGGTTTCACCATGTTGGCCAGGCTGGTCTCGAACTCCTGACCTCAAGTAATCCACCCGCCTCAGCCTCCCAAACTGCTGGGATTACAGGCTTGAGCCACTGTACCCAGCCTTCATTTCTTAATTAAAAAATTTTTAATTTAAAACATAAAAATTATGTATTAAGATGTCTTTGACGAGTATGTTCAAGTGAGGGTGGGCAGCATTAATATTAACACAAACTTGAATATGTTAGTAATTAAGTAACAATTGCCATGCTGAAGGTGATAAAGACCCGCCAGGATGACAGCTGAAACATCAAGCAGAGACAAAGAAGTGTGTCCAATTAAAACACTGGCCTCCTGCACCTTTATTTTCTGGCACATGATAAAGTTTACAACTCTCCAGCATCATTCCTGCATCTGATTTAAGTCTGTTTCGCCTCTCCCTGTACCCACATATTATCTGAAGTTTTCATCTCTGCACTGAAACTTCCGGCTGACTCTGCAGTTGTGACTGACCAGGTCTGGACAATGTGCCCTTACGGTCTTAGGTAGGAGGGCAGATTCTTATAGCTTTCATGGAAGACGCAGAAGAGACTGTTGGTGGCTGCCACTATCTGTCCTTCTCTTCTTTCATATAAAACCAGCCCCGGTCTTCTTCAGGGCACACAGGTTACCCAGGCAAAAGCCTATTTCCCAGCCTTCCTGCGGCTGGGTGTGGGCTCATGACCAAGTTCTGGCCAATGGGATACAAGTGGAAGTGTTCAGTGGAAGTTTCATCTTTTCCAAAGGATCGCTGACCTGTACCTTTTGCCGATTTTCAACCTTTCCCTTCGTTCTGCTGCCTGGAACATGGATGTGATGGCAGGATCCCTACCCTCCACCTTGGAGTTTCGGGCGAAGAGCTTACTTTCAGTTCAGCCAAAACAAAAGCTAAAAGGCAGCTGGGCAACTGAGGACTTCATGGAAAAAAACTACCATACCAGCTCCGGGTTGCCTATGTCTAGATATTTACATTACAAATAAACTATTTTGTTTAACCCAACATTATCTTAGGTTTCTATTACTGGCAGTCACTCCTAATCCTAAAGAATATAGAGAATAATGTTACAGTATCTACTAAAATGTACAATGTTTCATATCACTGACTCAGTAAGTCTATTTCTAAGAACAATCCTACAACAGTGGTTCTCAAGCCTGACTATATATTGTAACCACCTGAGATTTTGAAAAATACCAAAGCCTGGATCCCCTCCCCAGAGACCCTAATATAAAAACTAGTCTGAATGGGACCTGAGCTTCAGCATTTTCTTAAGCCTTTTAAAGTGGGTTAAGAACAACTGTCTTAGAGAAACAGCCACACAAGCGTTTCCATGCATGTATGAGGCTGTTTATGGCAACACCCTCTCTAACATTAGAAACTAAACAGCCTGAATGGCCATTGATACAGAACTGGGTAAAGAGTTAAGGTATAGCTACAGAATGAAATGTTATACACAACTATTAAAAAGACAAAGGAAGACAGACTATTAAGTGAAAGGCAAAAGTAGGCACAGTATAAACAAGTTATTTTATTTAAAAGTCCAATGTTTAAAAATCTGGAGACATATATGTCAGCCTGTTAATAGAACTTATTGCTAACCCTTCCCATTGCCCAGAATTACCCACTTCTCCAGAGCATCAAACAGCTCACCCTCGTACTCCCCGGAGAACTGTCAGAGGGCTTCCCTGGACCCATATAAAATAGGAAACCCACTCTAGTTCTCCTTTATCTTTCATCATAGCACTTACCGCCACCTGACACATATATTTACTGCCTATTTCCCTTTCCATTAGGAATAAAGTGCTGTAAGAAGAAATATTTCAACGGTTTCGTCTGCTAATATTTCCCCAGTGCCTAGAACACTACCTAGCACACAGTAGAGGTACCGCAAATATTTGCTGCATCAATCTCTGGGAGAGTTAATTATAGACTTTCACACTGGGACACACACAAACTCATCATTTTTTTATATTCTGTAAGACTTTTGTCATCTAAAAAATAGTTGTTTTCTAAGGTTGATTTAAGCATTTTAGTTTTGTAAATTTAAATCTCCTGAAAATAAAAATAGAAATGCCAGCCTCCTTTTCTATAAATCAACCAGACTGTTTTAGGAGATTTCTTAGTCTTCCAGCGATAAACTCCTATATCTAGTTCTCAAAGCCCAAAGCCAATGATCAACTTTTCACAGTAGATCCACTACAAATTTGAACATTTTACTGCATGTCCACTTCATACCAGGCTCTGTGCTCTAAATACTTAAATTAGATTACATCCCTTATTTTGTAATCATAGCAAAAAAAAAAAAAAAAAGTTTATTCTTCCTCAACAGTCACTGCTTTCTCTAAAGGGATATTAATTAATTAATCAGGAGAAATCATCCAAGCTCAATTTCAGAAGTGACAGGCATAACACTCCTTCCGACATCTAAATAAGAGTGTTCCCACTATATGAATTTATTTCAGAGGCTTAACTGATCTCAATCATCTTAGAGAATGTCAGTTAGGGCATTCCCCCAAATGACTACATTCTATGCCTGTTTAGAGGTTTGTAGCAGGAGATGCAAGCTGATTATGTGCTGTCAGCCAAAAAGAAGTTCTACACTGGCAGAGAAGACCACAGTCTTTGATTGAGAACCAGCTTGGGATGGCATGGAGGGATGAGGAGAAAGGAACACCAACGCTGCCAGTCAGAGGATCTTCACATCCACAGAACTGAGTGCCATTGTCATTTTCTATTTCTTTTTTTTTTTGAGATGGAGTCTCGCTCTCTTGCCCAGGCTGGAGTGCAGTGGCATTATCTCCACTCACTGCAAGCTCTGCCTCCTGGGTTCACGACATTCTGCTTCAGTCTCCCAAGAAGCTGGGACTACAGGTGCCTGCCGCCTCGCCTGGCTAATTTTTTGTATTTTTAGTAGAGACGGGATTTCACTGTGTTAGCCAGGATGGTCTTGATCTCCAGACCTCGTGATCCGCCCGCCTCAGCCTCCCAAAGTGCTGGGATTACAGGCGTGAGCCACCGCGCCTGGCCTGTCACTTTCTGTTTTCAATTTGTCCAGGGACATATTCAAAGGAGATCAAGATGAAGATGGACATAATCTGTCACGAGAAGGAACTTCTTCAATATCGCTGTTTCATCCTGCGCCTGCTTGCCCTCAGCTCTGTTCCTCACCTTCCACCTGTTCTGCTCTGTATTGCAGGAGGCTGGCTCCTGCAGGCTCAGATGGTCTCCAACTGGGTTCAGCCAGTAACAAGGGACTGGAGCTGGGGGAGAGAGAAGCAAGGGCATTTCCCCCGCAAACCTCTCCTCTCTCTTCCATGGCTCTGCTTTTTGGAAGCTGCTCTAGCTGTTCTTGAAGTTATCAGGGTTCTGGGTAGCCCTGACCCCTGGACCCCCTTTCCTCTTCAGCATAGGGTAGCAGTATCTTCCTCCTAATTGCTAATCTCTGGGTCACCTTTCTGTGCCTTGCTTGGCTCCCAGCAACACTACTGCCTGTTATCACCAATTCCCTGCATTACATTTTCTCTGTTGTAAATACTTGAAGTGGTTTTGGTGTTCCTGGTTAGATCCTGATACACATACGAATTTCAAAATATGTTTCTTACAAATTACTTTATCCAACCAAAGGGGAAAGTTCACATACTTTGAAACAATTATACGTTTAACATGTACTAGGTTACCACATCCCTTACCAGAGTAAATGACAAACAAAGGAAGAGGCAGCACCTTGGTTCCTGCTGTCCATTTTGGATACTTTAATGTGTGCATGTTGCAACGTGAATAACAATCTCTACCATCTAAATGTGTCTAGCAGGAAAACGGCAGATGCAAGCATGTTTAGAGTCTAATACAAATAAAAAAGTGAAGATCGGTGAGATTAGCAAGTAAAAAAACAGCAAGAACAATGGCAAAACAAAATTTTCTAAATCTAAAACCTTGAATTTTTTAAATTGGAATTTTAAAGTATGTCTATATTTATACAGAATGATGCTTTACAGTTTAAACCTTTATCCTAAAATATTTGGGGACAGATATACTTTAAGGTCCCAATAAATGAAACGTTCTTATTTGCTAGGGTGTGAGATCTGATATGTCATTTTATCTAAAATAAAATGTCATCTTCTAATTTTTACTTCTTTCCAGTATGACACATACAAATAAACATACAAGATTATGAAAAATCTACCATTATGTATAATTTACATCAATTATTTTAAAGTGTATTCCCTTAGAGAGCAGAAATTTTGTCAAAATATACACTTCCATTCTATTTATTGAGATCACATGAAAAAGCTCTAAAATGACACACTGTCATATTTTTGGGAAAACTACAATACCTATGTTTCAACCACTGAATTCCAGCTTGGCTTATGATGCCACTGAGATCTATCTGTTAACGAACATATCTAATTAAGTCTCCTAAACTTCTAAATTAATTTACAGCATTTTTATAGAGTTATGGCACAGAAATTAATCAAATTCAATAGTTGTTTTTTTTTTTTTTTTTTTTAAACTCCAAACAGTTTTGAGGCCTAGAATTGCTCTGGATCAAAGTTGTCAAATCCATAATAAAGTATCTTATAAAGTAGATGTTAAGAAGCTATTCGCTTTTTAATGTCATACATAATTATAAAAAGTGATACTAATGAATTTTAAAATCCTCTCATTCTCTTCAATGTTAATGTATCCAAGTCACTTGGAAATCCAACTATATTTAGTCTTAGTGTTCAAATCCTTC